CAGCCACAGGGAAGCGGAGAGCGCCGGAGCCGGTGCGTGCGGGGCTGGGCGGGGGCGGGGACCCCACGAGTCCAGCAGCCCGCACCCCGGGCTCGGAAACGCGACCCGGCCTCGGGCCCCTGCTTTCCGGATTCCCGGCGAGCCCGGGGAGCCCAGGCTGGGGGCGGGGAGCGGGGAGTTGGGGTTCCCCGGCCCTGACAGAGGAGATTCCCCCGACTCAGGGCGGCGCAGAGACCCAACGCGGGCTACTCTAGGGACCCCGGGCCGCGATCGAAGGAGACACACGCCAGGGGCGATGGGGATCCCCACGCAGGGTCGGGATCCGCGTGCTTGCTCGTCCACCTTACCGCGGGATGGGCCGCGACCGCTGAGCGTCTGCGAGGTAGTCGGACGCGCAGCTCCGGAGATCTCCTGGTCCGGCGCTTTTAAGGAGCCAAGCGGAAGCCCGCACGCAGGAAACCGGGGCCCCGAACTCGGGGGCTTCGCCACTGATTGTCCAAACGCAATTCTTGTACGAGTCTGCGGCCAACCGAGAATTGTGGCTGGACATCTGTGGCTGAGCTCCGGGCGCAACAGGGGCGGAAGCCGCAGGAACCGAGCTCGGCGCGGGCGAGACCCCTCGGGGAGGCGGCTGGCTGGCCCCAGCGCGAGGATCGCAGCCCCAGCCGAGAGCGCAAAAGAGGGACGCCGGTCCCTGCCACCAGCGCCGCCATCCTCATCCTCGTCGTCGTCGTCCTCCTCCTTCTCCTCCTCCTCTGCGGGTGACCAGTCGTGGCTGGCGGGGGCCTCCAGTCGATCGCGTCGTTTTTCCCTTTTTCAAATTTCGGCCGGGAACGAAGGTGGCACGCCGCGGCGGGGCATGACTGTGGTCCGGGGAGCCCGCCCTCGGCCCGAGCCGCAGCAAGTCGGGGGCGAAAGAAGATGCCGGCGGAACGCGCTCGCTAATTCGTTTTGAATTGGTTTTAACCTAGCCCCCACCAATGCCCCCCAAACAAAAAAGCCTAAACCAACCCCTAAATCCCAAATAAACCGACCCCTCCCGCCAGCCCCTCCAGACGGACCGATGGGCTGAGCCTCCTCCAGCCGCAGCAGGAGTCAGAGGAGTCGGAGAAGCGTCGAGAATGATGCGCTCCAGCCGGGCAATCGCCTCGGCTTTGGAAACAACTTGGACAAACGAATCCTTTTCATTAAAGACAAACCTTCGGAGATAGTGGGGTTTACTTATTCGTTTATTTCCTCAAAAGTGGGGGTTCAGGAGTTGTGGGGGGGCAGCTGGGTGTTGCCGGGGCTGAGCCCAGGTCACCTGTTCCTGACCCCCATTCCGCTGGGGACTGAAAATGACCCAAAATGCTGCGGAGTGGGGCTTGGGCCAGTTTCAGCGATGGTGCTGGTATCCCCCACCCGGGAGAACCTGGTTTTCTCAGTGTATCCTCCTGCCCTACTCCTCAGCATTAATTGGGGTGCCCTGGCAGAAGGGATATCCCGAATCTACTCTCCCTCTTCCCAGTGCAGGCGGGAAAGGAATTCTATCGTCCTGTTTCCAGGACTTGGAATCCCAGGTGGGACAATGGGCCACTCCAGTGGGGCTGGAGGCAAGGAGGAACCTCCAGGATACAGGAATCAATGAGACTGTAGGGGGCCATTTCAAATCCCTTGCTCCGTTCCCTAACATGGAGACCCTAACCGCAGCACCTAGTTCTTGTTGGTCATAACAGCCTTTCTAGACAGCAGCTGGACCCCAACACTGACCTTAATTTGCACTCAGACCAGCTCCTACCCATAACCCCAACATGGCTGGCCCCCACCTACACATACCCAGAGGGTCTCTACCCGTAGATTGCTGGAGAGAAGCCCAGAAGCCAGGGGTCGTGTGTCCTCTAGGCCTTGAGAATGATGTGCATACACATCCCCTCCACCCCCAACACTGCTGAGACAACCATTTGGCACTTTCATCTCCACAGGAGAGAGGTTCTACCTTAAATTATTGACATTTAATGAAAAACAATGTTTTGGGTGGAATGATGTTAATGCCCTAATTTTTTTTTTTTTTTTTGAGGTTTTTTCCCCAGCGAAGCTTCTTCTCCACGTCATGGGAAGGGAGGTTCAGCAGTTTGACATGACACCCCCATTCTGGTTTCTGGGGCTGCGGGCTGCAGCTGGTGGGACAAAGCCTGGCCTTGGACAAGTAGAGAAGTGTCCTGGGACCCAGACTGGGCAGCACAGACAGGCTCTGCCATCCCCTTCTCCAGATGGCCCTATCAGACCATTCTCTCCCAGACAGTCTGTGTAGTCTGGGTTTGAACCCCTGCCCTCTTTTTGGGTGAAGGGCAGCTCTGAAAGTCCTAGGCTAAGGGCAGAGAGGTTGGACCAGGGACCATGGCTGGGGGGATGTGGAGTGTCACTGGTTTCTAAGGATGAAGCTCCAGGCAAAGCTAGTAAACACCCTAGTCTTTTATTTGCCCAAGGCCAGCTGTTGCAGGCAATGAGGCCCCAAGACTTCCAGAAGGGATGAAGGGAGGAGGGGCAAACCATCCTGCCTACCAGGTGCTGCCTGCCCCCACCCTGCTTCCTGCAGGAGGTGGGAAAGGAGATAAAGTCTACATTTGTGCCATCAAGGATCACACCTGCTTTCAGATACTTATAAACATTCAGTTGCTGTTGAGGAGGAAACTGAGGCACTCTGACATCCCAGGCCTCTATGTGCCAGTCCAAGCTTTTGCCTGCTCCTCTTTCTCTCTCTCCAGAATGAGCTGCAGGCAGCCTTTTGCTGGGGGAGGGCCTTAGGAGCCCATCTGGTGGCCTGTGGGGGGGAAGGCCAGCCAGGGTCAAGGGCTGGGGATGGGGGAGCAGGAGGAGGGTGTGGTTGGAAGAGCAGCTGCTGGGAGGGGGGAGTCAGCACTGAATAGGGGACCCCAGCTGGGGTTCCATAATGGTATCAGTGGGGGACAGCCAGAGCCCTCTGCTGTCTAGATGGGGAAACTGAGGCAGAGACTCCCCCCATCTTAGAGAAGGGAGGGGCTTCCTATCAGCTATTCCTGTCCATTCATCTTCCCCACGAAGACACTACAGCCCGGGAGCTGGAGTGCCTCGTCAGTGGTCACTCGATGTTTAGACTGAGACACAAGGAATGGAAGGCAGCTGGGTCACCTGGCCAGGGAGCCCCCTCCTGTTGTGACAAAGCAGAGGGGCACCCTCCCCCACCTCAGATGCTGGGGAGGGAGGCAGGGCTGAGCCTGCCCGCCCCCACTCACGTGCCTGAGAAAGGCTCATTTTTAGCACCTGGCCTCTTTTCCCTGCCTGGAGGGAGCTCGGGGGACAGAGCAGGGAAGAAAGCAGCCAAGGGGGACAGGGAGACCTGGAAGCAGGGCCCCAGGGGATGTCTGATTTTGCTCTTCTCCCCACGCCAAGGGAACCCGGGCCCAGAGCGGGGCCCTCAGCCGCCATGCAGCGTGGATATGAAGAGGATGCTGTCCTGGTCCTGCAGCTGGTAGTCCAGCTCGCCCTGGTCCAGGAGAGAAAGGAGACGTCAGGGGCTTCTCCTCAGCTGTCGGGAAGGGAGAAGGGGGCTTGGTCGCTTTGGGAGAGAAGGATAAAATCTACCAGAAAAATGGGTGCCCTGCATATTAACCTGCCAATCTTCGGGATGGAGGCGAGAACACCACTTCCCCCAGCTACCTGTTCCTTCCTCCCTCGGGTGGGAGACTTGAGTGGCCCCACTTTGGAAGCCAAGTGGGACCCGGGACTAGCCAGCCAACCCCACTGGGCCTGATGAAAGACCCAAGGCTGTCCTGGGGAAGCAGTGAGGGGAGGGATGTCTCCCGAGGTACTGACCAGCAGTTCCCAGTCCGCATCGTTAACCAGCACCAGAATTCCTGGCCGCCTGTGGGAAAGAGGGCGTGAGGAGCTGGGAGTGAAGGGCAGGAGGCAGTTGGCAGCAGGGGCATAGAGGCTGAGACACCTGGGCTGGAGGACAGTGTGGTGGGAGCTTGTCCTCCTGAGGTTCTGATGAAAAATCACCCAGGAAGTGGAGGGGACACTGAGTCTAAAGGAAACCAGGCCAGACAGTGGTAGCTTTTGGGGTGATATGGAAAACGGGTACAAATTCCAGCACCACCTCCTAGACCTCAGGCAACTCATTTTGTTTCTCCGAGCATCAGTTTCCTCATCTGCAAATGGCACAAATTACGCAGCCATCCTCCCAGGTCTGCGCCAGAATGAGACGGGACGATGCATGGCAGGCACCTGCCTGCCTGTGTCTACCCCTGTAACCACTGGCAGCAGCACAGTTTTCCAGGGCTCTCACCTCACCCTCCTGGGCCTCCCGCAGGCCCGTCCCGGAGATGAGGCTATCTTGGCTCTTCGGAACCAGGGGCCTCAAGCACCCACATACCTGAGAGCAGCCCTGCCTGCTGTAAGGCAGGGGAGGCTGACATCTGGACAGCTACCCGCCTGGCAGCAGCCCAAGGAGCACTACTGTCCTTGGGGGGTGGCCTCCGGGACGGCAGGACCGTGACCTGAGCCAGGGCTTGAACGGCAGCCTTAGCACCCAGGGCCTGCTGGTGACCTCCGCTGCAAGGGGATGGTGACTGGCTCCCACAAGTGCCTTGCCCACCTCTCTTACACCTTAGGCCTCCTTCTTGTCGAAGCAGAGTGACTTCTTGGCTGTGACACGGAGTGTGGCTCTTTTCCCAGGAGGCCGGGCTAGGTCCGGGACAGGTCCAGAAGCTCTGGGCTAGGGGCAGGGGCGTGCTCACCCCAGTGAGCACGAACGTGCGCGTGTGTGCGTGCACCTGCGCACAGTGACTCCCTGGGATTCTAGACCTGTGCCCTCCAGGATGGCATCTAGGAGGCACCATTCTCATTTCTAGGGCTCAACGGACTCATGTGCTTTGCAGCTTCTACACTGGACAGCACAGAATACACAACATTTCCATCATCACAGAACGTTCTACGGGACAACCACAGTTCCAGATTGTCGAGGGATGCAAGGGACTGTGGGCAGCATCTTTTTCTCAGGACTTCCTGTATGGAGAGAGTAGCTGAGGCCCAGAGACAGAGGGAGGATAAAGGGGAGAACAGGACCCCAAGAAGGCTGCGGGTGAACCCAAGGATAGGGGCTCAAACCTCCTTCCCCCCTGCCCCCGCCTGCCCTCCTCAGGGAAGGGAAGAAAGGGACTCACACGCTGTCTCCCTGGATGAACAATTCTGGCCGCTCTTTTAGCAAATTCTTCTTGATCCAGACAAGGAGGTTCCGGATGTCCCCTAGAGAGGAAGGCACAGAACAAGCTCGTGTCAAACCCCAATGATTCCCGGCCCCCAGAGCCTTGCCTGGATCAGAAGGAAGTGAACATGGGGCTTAGAGGCCTCTTTTAGACCAGGCTCTTGTGACCCCTGGACTTGCAGATTCCCAAAGTGAGGAAGGGGGCTAGGTGACCAGCATCCTGCCAGAGAGGCCTTCAGAGAAAGTGGTGCTGCTCAAGGCTTAGAGAGGTGACGGGGCCTCAAGACAGACAGGCTTCTGAAGGGCCCTGCAGGACCCCCTCCACCCTTCTCTCTCCAGCCAGTCCCAGATGGGGAGGACTCAGCTTTGCTCTCAGAGGGGTCTGCATATATTTCCCTTTGTGAGGGAAGAAAAACAATTGCTGAGCCGATAACATCAGTTAATTTCCTCTGGCAGAGGGAGAGAAGGATCCTTCACCAGCCAGGGCCGCTGACAAATCACTGCCCCGCTACCCCCACCTTCACAGAGTCCCCCCAGGCCAGGGACGGCCACCCTGAATAGGCAAGAGGTTCAGGATCGAAAGGGCCTCTCCTGCTCAGCTTGGACACTGAGGTCAGCCACTCTGGGGTTCTGGGACAGCCACTGAGCTCTGTGCACATCATGTGGAGGCTCAGAGCTACCTGTCCCCTGGATCACCTCTCCTTTCCTAGGAGCAGGTCCCAGGCCACAGCACACTGAAACCTGGCTCCATAAACACCTCAAAGCCTACAGCCCTCAAATGTCCAACTGTCTCCTCCTCCAACAGACTGTCTCCTGAGGCTGCAGTTCCTTCTCTCCTCGAGACCACTTGAGGACTGAAGGCCCCGGGGAGACAACTAGTCTCTAGGGAGTCACAGGGGCTTGAGGCCAGCCACCTCCATTCTGACTTAGTCTCCCGGAGGGGTCTGCTGTCCTGGACCCACGCCTGAGCAGAGCTCAGAGGCGAAGCT